CTCAAATATAATGTTAGTGTTTTATCCACTGTGATTCATTCAAAATGTTAAGTTACTGTTTTTTTCTTCAGCTACTAGTGTTCTCTCTTATTTTCTACAGAATTTTGATGTAAGAATAAACAAAAATTTTCAAGTATGGTGCGATTGTTTCATAACAAAGCAAAGGAAAGGAATAAAAGAGAAAAATATGAGCGCATGTCTCTCTTCGCCATGCAAATTTTTAATCAGTCACTTTTTTATTTTTCATTCTACTGGTAATAATACCATTTTGGACGATGATGAATACCAATTGTGAGTAATATTTCAAGCAACACATTATTGTTTTTTATTGTCAATGGTTCCATACGACCTTAAAATCATCGGCACTAAAGTAATAAGAAACACTAGGTCAAATATCATAGTTAATTATTAAAATAAGAATTCTGCACGCAAATTAATTTGTTGTAAAAAATAAAATAGAAATCAAATTAAGAAAACTAATGTGATTTCTATTCATGTAGTGCGACCATCATTGTCATTCATAAAGACTTGAAGAGACATCACAAGCGCTAACCGTAGACTCACATTTTTGGTGAATACTGATTGCATCACTTCCATACTGCAGAAAATCGAATACGCTGTCGAATCTAGGGGTGGCACTTTATCTTTATTTCACTTTGTTAAAGTAAAGTAAAGTAAAGTAAAATAACTTACTTTACTTTATCGGGTAAAGTAAAGTTAATCTACTTTACTTTATCGGGTAAAGTAAAGTTAATCTACTTTACTTTATCGGGTAAAGTAAAGTTAATCTACTTTACTTTATCGAGTAATGTAAAGTAGATCTACTTTATCCGAAAAGTAAAGTAAAGTAAAGTAAAGTAAAGTGATATATCCATAACTTTATCAAACAAGCAAGATATAGTAAAATAAGATAGAGTAAAGCATGTAGTTGATGCTTATTCATTTATTAGTTTATTATCACACATTAATCACACTGTAATACGTCAAAAGTTGCATCGAATTATGGATCGGAGGCCCTGAAAAGTTAAAACTGATTTTATTACTTTGGAAGTCAGCATCGAACTCTGAATATTCTTCATAATTCTCTATTCTACATGATCACAACTCAAGTTTTGATACTTGAGGTCCCCCTAAGGTATCAAAAAAAAAATTTACTGCCTGTCCAATCACAAGTCTTTATAATTCAACAGCACCAAGTGCCCAGAATACAAATATGTCATTTATTTTTAGAAAGTGACACGACAGTTGAGCCTCCGACATTTGAGCGCCAACAGTTGAATCTACACATTAGAGCCCTAGACATTTCAGTGTCTTGACGGTCGAGGCTGTTGCCTTTTGAGTCTCTTCACATTTTAAGCCAAACCATTAACTAAATGAAGTATTTATTACAACTATGGTGTAGGATGTAAACGGTCGTGTGGTGTGAATGCCGATGTGAATGTGGGCTGAGGATGTAGGATGTTGGTGTGAATGTGGGCTGTGGGTGTAGGATGTTGATGTGAATGTGAACTGTGGGTGTGAGTAGCAGTGTTTTATCCAAGTTTTTTCTCCGGAGAATCGATTTGTAATTTCCGGGAAACGAAAAATTATTCAGGAGGGCAAGCATATAGTTCGTCCCGCGATGAGCACGAGTCTCTGGGAGCGAACTCGATTTTCGTGAGAGCGCCGCCTCCTTGCGTACCCACTGGATAAAGCACTGGTGAGTAGGGTTGTAGATGTGGATGTTGTTCTTTCTGCCCCTCACTCTCTTCACACTAACGTCCACCGACACCTACTCGCATCCGCATGCTAGGGATGTATCGAGATCAAGAGGTTCGGTCTTGGTTGATCTCTATTTCGGTCTGGGTTAGTCTCAGCCTCGACCAGTCTCAGCGAAGGATGAACGAGATCGAGAGTCTCGATTCAGCCTCGGTCTCGGTACATCCCTACTTCAGGCCTTAATAATACCTGCATACCCGCACCTATAATTACTTGAAGAGTACTTATCCCAACGGTTTCAAATAAGCTCACATAGAAGTGTTACTCACTTGACAAGAGTTAACTGCAGGAGGATCAAAAGTGAAGAGGCTCAACTGTCCAAAGCTCAGATATTAGAAGACTCAGACGTTCAGAGCCCAAATGTGTAGGCTTAACTATTGAGACCGAAATGTTGAAGGCTCAACTGTCTATGTAACCTTCGAAGAGTACTCAGATAATAAGAAAGATCAGAAGCACTCCCTAACTCCATATTAAACCAGCTTCTGTCCAGAAATTTCACTAAAATACGGTTCTATCTCGTCGAAAATAAGTCCATCTTTTGCAGAATTTGTTTCTTGATGAGAAAGTATAAGAAGCCGTTGAATGTTCGCTTTCTTTTCTACCGATAACTGGCAAATACCGTCTCGATCGGATGATATTATCTCTCATACCTTTTAGCTCTACAAAACTAGAGTCTCCATAGGTGCAGTGGTCGAATAGCTTCGCCAAATGAGCAATTGGATGTGCTCTTGCTGATGGCATCATTTTAGACTGAAAATCTCGAATCTGTAAAATCGTTTTTGCCTCAAAATCCCATCCTTCAGATCCCGTTTGCCTCTGGCTTGGCTAATATTCTATAGATCTCGAATAGAAAAATCCCATTTGACTTTAGACAACTGTTATATCTGTGAATAAAACATAGAACTAAGTCAACATGTGCGAGTTAGAGATGTTAACTCAGTTGGATTGATACGGGTACCCACTGCTTTAGTGTCTCCATGGGTCAGCCTTAACTCAAACCAGTTGCTTGAGTAGATCATTAATGGGATGTCACCTCTGGCCTACCTATAAAAAGTTTCAGGTAGATTGCATGAGTTAACGCCAAAGTCAACCTTGTGCTACCCCGTTAAATACTCCAAATTTCATAAAAATCAGTTACGAAAAGGTTTTCTCAATGAGTGTGTGGTTAAAATAGAAATTTTTCGCCAAGTCAAATTTATTTTAAGTTCGCTGTAACGAATCCGGTACGGTTTTCATGAACCTGTTCAAAAAAAAAGATCTTCATGATACCAGGGAGTGCTTCGGATCTTTCATATTGTCTGAGCACTTTCTAAAAATAAATGATATATTTATAATCTGCACACTTCATGCTATTGAATTACAAAGACTTATGATTGAATAGCCAGAGAATTTTTTTTTCGATACCCGAGGGGACCTCAAGTATCAAAACTTGAGTTGTGACCATGTGAAATACAGAATTATAAAGAATACTGAGAGTTCGATACTGATTTTCAAAGTAATAAAATCAGGTTTAAACAATTTGGGGCCTCTCATCCGTAATTCCACGCAATTTTTGACATATTAAAGCGTGATCAGTGTATGATAATAAACTAAGAAATGAATAAGCATCAACTACATGCTTTTCTTAATCGTATTTTACTATATTTTGCTTGCTCGATAAAGTTAGAGATACTTCACTTTCGTTTACCTTACTTTACTTTACTTTTCGGAAAAAGTAGATCTACTTTACATTACTCGATAAAGTAAAGTAGATTAACTTTATTTTACCCGGTAAAGTAAAGATAAAGTGCCATTCCTAGTCGAATCGTAGAAATAAGAGAATATTGTCTTCATTGGATTTCCTAAAAGATTATAAAAAAACTACCGTTTTCAATAAGCCATTCATAAATCAGATATGCTCTGCCATACCTATTTCACGATGTCAAATCCAGAATTTTCAATTCCACTAGGAGTCGATGAGATTTATCGATTCACCGAAGATTTATTGTTTTTCAACCATGAGCCGAATGCGCAACCATAGAGTAATCTGATATGCACATACTGAAACAAATCTCCTTTCCAATGCTTATTGTATTTCCTACAGCCGATCCCCCCCTCCAGTTTTTCTAACTCATTGGGCGCTCTATCACTTGAACTACAGGGTGGTTCATAAGTAGCTTTATGATAAAAAATTGAGTGTGTAGGTGTGGGTGTGGGTGGATGTGATATTCCTCTTGCGTCGTCCAAGGCAACATCCACATCCTTATCAACTATTCATCCACTTCTACACCCATCCACACCTACCCACACCCTTCGTTATTTGAGACTTTTTAGAAATAATCGATTTTTTACACGAATTTAATCGACGTTAATCTTTTTAATCGATTTTTCCCGATTTTTCTCCGAAAAATCAATTTAAATCAGATTTCTAGGCTGGTTTTTACACGAGTAGCTTACCATGTTTTATGATTAATGATATTAGGAAATAAAAATGACGTCTTTTATACAAAGATGTTCAACGATTGCACTAAATATAAAAACAGTAAGTATGACATGAGGCAATTTAACTTATCTTGTAATAAATGATGATATCAAATCTTTCGGATTTTTCCAATTCTATAATGTTTTTCACATAAAATTAAGAATTCCTATTTAATGTGAAGTGAAAATAAATTGTAATTCTTCCACTTTCAATTACTCTGCTCATCATAACTTGAACGGGCGATTTTCAGCTGCGATAGGTATCTCTGAAACATGCGTACGTCAGTATGGATACCAAAAATGTATCTTACAGCCACATAGTGACTCTCACTCATATCTTGATTTGATTATTACCGCTGAAAAAAAGCATCTTTTCTGAGATAAGAAATCACGAGTTTTTTGGCCATCTCGAAATAAACAAAGATAAGAAAAATGGCATTTTGAATATTTTTATGACGACATGTACAACAAATCGAGACTATCACCCCATAACCTCAACTACCATTTCTTCCAACTTGATAAGAAAAGAGTAACGTATGTTGTTGCTGAAGACATAAGCAATGCTTTAATGAGAACATTTTTATGAAACATTGTAGGATTGATTCTTATCTGTTAATGTGCGTTATCGGTGTAATAGGGCAAGGATTTTATTTCAATTCGACGTTTTGGATTCACCACGTGATATAATGATATGCCGAAAGAACAACATAAATCTACTTGGTAAATTTGTTTCAGATAGTTGTATCTGTGTGTCAGACTTGACTTCATCATAACTGACGAGAATGCTATCCGATGACTACGATGAAACATTTATGTGCGTTATTTGTTTCGAATCACCAAAGGATCGACTAATGTGTCGATTCTGCTCGAAATTCATTTGTGCTTCTTGTTTGAATGTACGTCTTTATTGTAATCATTTTATCGAATATTTTAAATGATATTGCAATTATTTTACTAGAAAATATTTGGCCCTTTTGGATACGATCAGAAATGTCCACACTGTCGGTGAGTTCTACTGTTTAATAAGACAATCATTTCCTGAAAGCTTTCACAATTTTATGCGTGTTCATAGGTACACATGGAGAGATAAATATGTACCAATTCAATACTGTTCTGCCTATAGCTACAAGAATTTTCAAAAATTTATAATAATTACTAGAATTTCGACAAGAACTTGTAGTTTTAAGATTTTTAGTTCTCATACATGATGAATTTAATTCGTTATTCCTACAAATTAGGCCGAGAGAAAGCATGAAACTTTACTGGATCATTAGAAGTATTTTATCCTTTAAGAAATGAACATGAAATTTCTAAAAGTGTCGAATTTCGAAAAGGTATGGTTTTTATTTTGTTTCTAAAGCAGACCAATAACGCAGTGCGGTGTTAACATTATGATAGTCACTGCGATGAAAACTTTCGCTTGTTTTCACTGTCGTCACACATCATCACATTAGACAATTTCGTGTCGTTTTTGATTTGAAAAAGTCTCCTCGAATTTCTTGATCTTCGTTTTGATAAAGAACACTTTTCCCTAAAATCTGACTCTGAACATATTTGACGGTGAATTTATTTTCGTCCCAACATTGGGATTTTGGTTTCTAGAGGAGTTTTGCTTGAAAAAGAAAAAAGATGTTATCACTCGAAAAATTGTTCGATTGTCTATAGTTTCAAGTTCTGATTTATGATGGAATTTTTCTGGTATGTTTTCCGAGTCTTTTCAAGTGTTCTGATGCAGTCTATCCATAAGAAAATAATGTTAATATAAGAAGCTACAGTATTTTACGATGTACCTTGGAAAAAAGTATTCTAAAAACTCAGAACTCCTTTCTGAAACGCCTACAGTTATACATTTGAATCTAGAATCGGTTTCTTATGCAAATCGTTGAGAAAAAAATTTTTGATCAAATTTTGAATTTCCTGCACCTTACCAAGTTTTATTTTCATATCAAACTATGAAAGTATTTCTCTTGCTTCGAAATCGAAATGCATTATGTTTGAAATTTTATAGAGTACAGTATTCTCATGAGTTGTTAGACTATTGTGTAGGAAATTATTATCGAAATAGTTTCTGCAACTACTTGCGCTCACATAGATCCATAGATTAGAAATTTTTAGAGAACTTTGAGTTTCGTTTGAACTTTCTGTAGAGTTCTAATTTCAAAAGAAAAATTTGAATAATTTAAATTATATCCATATATGAGATAGAACATCTCGTGTATCTTTTCATTTCTTTTCTAGGAAAATATTTTAATTAGTAACTAGTTTGTATATAATATTTACTATCAAAACATAGTTCTGTCATAGATGTTTTCAACATAAAAATCTTATCATACAGGAAAATACACTTATTATTGGCAAAATTTATATATTTAGAGCTGTGGTGTCTCAAGAAGATTTTACAAAAGTACTTTGGCTTCCGGACCATTTGAAAGAGATTGATGATCAAGTGAAAACTGGAACAGCTAATAAGTCAATCATTTATAATCTTTATCTACTGCATTGACATTAATCTATTAAGTGTCATTTTAGATGCAGTGAACATGAACGACAAGAACTGTCGATTTTTTGTCAAACGTGTGGCCTACGAATATGTGCTCATTGTGTGTTACCAATGTTTCACGGAAAAGTAAGAAAAACAACAATGGTAGCATTTTTATCAAAGTTTACTATTCATTCATGATTGTAGCATGTTCAGCATGATTATTGTTCATCGGAAGATATCTATGCTAAAACTATTAAAGAAGTTCGAGAACACATCAATCATTCACGTCATGCCGTACACAAGGGTCAAAAGGAAATAGAAAAAAATGTAGGAAAAAAAACACATTTTATTTATGTGCTTCCAATAGTTATTTATTTTCACATTTACTTAGAAAAAATCCTCCAATACAATTCTTCAATATCGGAAGCAGCGTCGTGACGAATTCAACAAAATGCACGCGTCAATACACATGAAAATTGATAGGGAAACTGATAAATATCTAGAAAAGATTGAAGGTTATCTATATTTCATTGATATTTTTCGTGCTCTGAGAACAGAAACGATCTATCGAAAAGAAATATTAATAAAGCATATCCTGATAAATTCAGTAATATTTAAGAAAAATTCTAAGAAACCGATACCGAAGGATCTTTTTTAATATTGACAAAAGCAAACCTTGCTTGTCATCGCTACATTCTCCTCATTAATTACTAAAGACAGGAGCATAAGGAAGAGATCGAAATAATTATTATAGTTTTAAGGACGATGAGAATTTTTTTTTTTAATATTCGCTTATTGTTTATCAGGTGAACGAACTATTCTTAATGATCAAATCAACCAGCATAACGAGGTGATTACTATGGCAGAACAAGAGATCAACTCTAAAACTGAAACCGAATTGATTAGCATGAGAAAAGAATTGCTGAGTCGATTTCAGAAACTTCCATCGATTTCGACTTTCAACAGCATTGACACAACAAAAAACATTCTCTCTGAGTAAGATCAATTCCTCATATAGGATTTTTATAGTCTCATATGTCTATTCAGTTTTTTGACACTTCCATGGCAAACAGGTGAATTTATCTTGTATGGTTTTTCAAGAAAGAACAGCAGTTGGGACAACTTTATTGTACAAAAGTACTCTTTGGACTATAATCAAAGCTGGTCATTCATGGTACATCCAGTTAAGTCTATTCTTTTAGGCTTGATATTTAAATGCTAATTTCATTTTATACATTTAGAACTATTCTACTGATAAACATCGTAATGTACTATCTGTCTTTTTGAAATTAAATAATGGAATGTTGCAACCTATTGATTATACTTATATTGTCGAATTAGTTCATTCTAGTGGCGATGTTTCTCTTAACTATACGATGAAAGGAACGGGACAATTTAAATCAGGCTGGCAAAATGGATGGAAATCGTAAGATTATAGTTTTTTTTTCTAGAATTCTGTCATTTTATTTATCGCTGAGTATTAATTTAGATTTTATCCAATTGAACATTTGAATTCAGGCGGTTTTTTATGGCCGGACGAAGATAAAATTAAGTTTATTTTCAAATTTCAACCTGCGACTATTTTTGAACAAAATAAAGTTCTTGAATGGCACCTCAAGTAAGAAAATATTCTCGTATCTCAGACAAATAAGATTAAATTTTTAGATCATGTACTTTTTTCCACATTCATGATTTTGTTTATTGGTGTTCCTCAAATTTTGATTTCCGATCAGTGATAATCACTAATTCATGAAGTGAAGCCTATAAGATGATGTCTAAAGCAATACAATAGCTTTTTTGCTATGTCAATTATTTATTAAAGTCTATACATACTAGAGCAAATTCGTCTTTTTTTTAAATATTACCTGTTACATATTAGAGTTTTTATACCCTAGAAATTCAATTAGATTGCATTGTCAGAACAATTGATAAGGAGTTAAAAATTACACATTCATGTTTTAATGTGTTTTTTTTTATTTTTTGGAATTTACAGTCAAATGGAACACAAGGCAAGAAATGCTGAAGATGCTATTGCTCGTTTACAAGAGTAAGTTGATTCAGATAAAAAAAAACAAGATCTTGTTAATTGTTATGCTCTCTAGAGAAAAGAAAAAGATCGAACAAACTGTCACTGAACAACGAAGACAAATTGAGAAAATCGAAAAGAGAGAAATTCAACTGAAAGAGTAAGTTCTAAACTTATGCAACAGTTTGACAATCAACTATTCTTTCTCTAGAACGCTTGGAAGTCAACAAAAAGACCGAGAGCTTATTACTGATCAACGTTCTGAACTGAAGGCTTTGAAAAGGTTTCAATAATGTGTTTTAAGAAAATGATTGAGCATTCTATTAGTATTTTCTCTTTTGTTTAGAGATAATGAATCGCTTAAAAAAAAATTGAATGATTTCGTTGCTGCTCAAAAACGTCGTAAGTGAACAAAAATCACTCATTTTAACTTTTCATATTTGCTCGTGCAAATATGAAAGCAAAATATTCATATATTCATGTGTGTATCTATTTCAGATTGTCAAGAAGACCTACGTAATGAGTTACAGAGATACAAGAAAACACGTAACTGCTAATCGAAATTCTGCTTTGATATCTGAAAAGATATTGCTATTGAATAAATATACTGGAAATAAAATGATGGATTATAATCCATCAGAAAAAGTTGTTTTTCTTAAATTTTAACATTTCATTTGGATATGGATGAGAAGATGAACGTTTTGATCCTGCATCATTCGTTGAGAGAGACAGTGACAAAAATATTGAAACAATGTGATCGAAAATGACGAGTTTTGAATTCGGCATATAAATCCCTGGTTTTGCTATTAGAACAATAAATTCAATTCAAGCGAACAACTTGAGTCTTCTTCCACAACGAAAGAAAAGAATAATTGTGCTATTCTGTTCCCTGATAGCTAAAGAAACACTCATCATGCAAAATCTTTTGTCTTGTCTTTGGTCTCTTTATTTATTATGTCAACTCTTGTTAATCGCTCGTCATATCGAGAATGTGGGTGTGGGTGTGAGTGTGGGGGTGAGGTGTGGATGTGTGTGATTGTGGGGGTGCGGGTGTGGGTGTGAGGTGTGGATGTGGTTATGGTTATGTGTGAGCATGGTTGGGTGTGGATGTAGTTGAAGATGCGCGCTAACACTTACACCCATACCCTCCAGCACTCTCATCCACAACCATCACACACTCACGCCCACACCCACACCATCTACAATTTACATAAGAGGGTGTGGGTGAGGGTGCTGGAATCTTTTCTTGGACACCCACACCCAGCTATCTTTGCTTGTCTCGTCAATATAGTTAAATCTAACTTTGCTCTGCCAAGTATAACTATTTTACCATTGTTCTCGCAGAGAACTCAGTTGTATATTATTTGACTTGAGCCCTTTTGCATGAAGTTGTAGTTTATCAAATATATTCAGAGACGGTGGTGGTATATTTTCTACGAATCTTTTTTCTAATTTATCTAACTGTAATTTTAGGTCTGATGTTCTCATGAGTTGTTCGTGCTAGTAATGTATGTGTTATTGTTCTGATTGTGTTGCTATTAGTTTAATATTCAATGTAGCTTTTTGTCTAATTTGGTCTAATAAGAAATTGTCCAATCTTTTTTTTGTCATTGTTCTTCTTGCTTTTTAGTGGTTTTTCAGTAATATTTGTCATGAAACCAACTAATTGTGTTCTTACCTGGACAGGAAATGATGAATGTAACTTTTTTCTCTCCCATTTTCTAATGTTTTATATTTGTTTTTGAGAAATTGTTGATGATTCTTTATCATTTCAAACTGATATAATTAAAATATTAAAGAAATATTATTTATTTATATAACTTATCAACAATATGTGTTTAATCGATTCCAGTACATTTTTTTTTAGATTCATAGCCTTTTGTTATATGCAGATGTTACAATGCAAAACAAAACAGAAACAAGACATGAAATAAGACAAAACAAGATGTTGCATGAAGGCTGGTAAATTAACGTGGAGACATATGACGAAAGTCTTTTATCTCAAAATGGAGTATTTTATTTGTATTAGATATCCGTATAATGGATATTGAATTTGGTATTAGAATTACTGTAGTATATCTTCGAGATAGACTTTTAAGATGCTATCATTGTTGGAAACAGCTTTTTGAATGGATTGATGAAGCAATGTAATTGCATAATCTTTAATTTTATAAATGTTGCTTATTTTGTGTATGTATTCGACAGATGTATATATGAGCAGTCCTAATGTTGCACGTATTGCTTTGTTTTGTATGATCTGCAGTCGATCCCAAATTTTGTCGTTGGCTGTAAGTAAAATAGGGAAGCCGTATATGATGATAGTTCGTGCAATATCTTTAAATATATTTAACATGATCTTTTCGTTTGATTCGTTGACTGCTCTTGATAAGAATCGTAGAAGGCTAATTTGACCAGCAATCTTTGATTCGATATGATGTAGATGAGACCCCCAGTTTAAGTTTTTATCGATGATGACACCTAGGTATCTTGTTGAATCTTACAGTGTAATAGTTGTATCTTCTACTCATACCACTACCGAATTCTTGTGCTTCTTTCATGAATGGATAGTGAAATGTATCAATTCAGTTTTTGTTGGTTGCAGTTTCAACTCCCATGTCTTGCACCAACTTTGAAATGCGTCTACGGACTGTTGTAGTCGGGACGAGAGAGTTACTGGTGTATGTGACGATGTCCATAGAGCGGTGTCGTAGGCAAATAGATCATGTTCTGAATGATTCGGTATTCCATTCATTGAATCAGATGTGTATATAATGTATGGTAATGGTGATAATGGAGATCCTTGTGGAGTTCCTCTATTCAAGTTGAATGGATGAGATAGAATATTTTCTAGTTCGATTGCAGCAGTTCTGTTGTTTAAGAATCAGATGACGTAGGTGAATAAATAATGTGGAAGACGTAAATCATTTAGTTTATAAATCAAGCAGTCGTGTAAAACCGAATCGAATGCAGCTTTACTGTCGAATAGAATTACCGCTGCATGATGTCTTCGTCGGCCGCGACGAAGTTGACCTTGTACATATTTTTCTAGTCTGATGATGTGGTACATAGTGCTTTTTCTTGAACGGAATCCAGCTTGATGTTACCGTAGAATATTTCGATGTTCAAGTTCAGCCATTAGTCGTTGTTTGATAATTTTCTCTAACAGCTTGCCTATTGCAATACATAAAATTAACAATGAATGCAATTACAATACAATGCAATCAATATCATGCATTGGTATATATTATTTTTTTTAATTAATTGAAATGCATTATAACACATTAAATAGGTTGCATTATCATGTAATTGCATGCATTGCGTTTCTAAAGTAAAGAAATGCGTGACAATACCCATAATTTGAAAAAAATCGACTGCATGAATAGTGCATAAGTGTTTTGTTATATATTGTGCGAAACAATAACAAAGAGTCTCACATTGGGTACTCACATGCTGACTACAAGAAAATCTCTAAAGAAAGTCTCGTACGAATACTCACTACAGTACACGAAGAGTATGTATACACGTAAAATTCTTTGCTTGGTCCAGCTGGCAAGTTGTACTCGCTTGATGTTTATTTTCACTCGAGTGACTTCCATAAGGTGAAATTTTTTCAAATGTTAACCAAAAGTGACACAATTTTAATTGTTGTCGATGTGCATGCAAGAGAAAGAGAAAGAAAATAATCAAAAAAGATAAAAATTGGCGGTCGATCTATTTTTTTTCTAGATTTTATTTTATTAATACGGTGAAAACATTTTAATATGAGAAGGAGAATAATCGATACCGTTTTTATCATTTTATTGAGACGTTTCGTTATGAACTCATAACATCATCAGTCAAAAAGAAATGAAATGAAATTACAAGACAAGAGAAAGAATAAATAGATAGACAATACAAAGAAAGAGAACAGAACAAAGGCACTTATTAAAAGAAAACTTTTTCTTTTAATAAAATAAGGGTGTGGATGTAGATGCGAGTGTGGGTGTGGGTGTGCGAATGAATATACTCTTCACTCACACCCACACTCACACCCTCATAACCGTAGAATAATTTACTTTTCTGCGTGGAATGATAAACCATTCTGTCCATAATGATAGAATGATCTACCCTTAGATGCACAATGATAAGCCCTTATTCTGTAATCGCAGAATAATCTCCTCTTGTGCGTAGCATAATAAACCCTTCTTTCAATAATGGTAGAATGGTCTACTTTTAGGCGTAAAATGATAAACCTACTTCCTAAAACCGTCGAGTGATCTACCCTTTTGCTGCAATCGTTGAATAATCTACCCTTATGTGTAGAATAATAAACCCTTTTGTGAACTCCATAGAGTGATCTACCCTTATGCGTAGAATAATAAACTCTTTTGTGGTCCCCGTAGAATAATCTACCCTGGTGCGTATAACAGCATATCCTTTTAATGAAAACGTAGAATAATATATCCTTCAGGATAGAATAATGAATCCTTTTCATGAAAACTTTGAGTAATAAACCCTCTACTACGCGTCATATACCCTTTTTATTTTCATATACCCGCATTGTCATAAACCCTTTGGTCTATAAACCCTTAAGGAGTATATGATGTCGGCATAAATCCTTCAAGGGTTTATGGAACCGTTTTCATAGTGAAAGGATTAATTATTCTACTGATTTTTTTTCAGTGACCACACACCCATACCTATACTCTCACGCTTCGTCCGTCATTCGAGCTTTTCACCTTTGTTAGAAAATATCGTGCTGCTATGCGGACAGACGTCTCAACTAGTGGTCTGTCACGACTGCCCAGGGTAGGATGTGGGTAGAAACAGATCTACACCCGACTCACCTACGGACACCCGCACACCCTACCGCTTTCAATCTCTTAGACACACGAAACGAAACCTTACAAGCTTCCCATTTAGAAATGTATATTTACTGTAAAATCATCATCAACATTGATCTTTCTATGCTTATGATGGATAGAACTCCTCAAATACTTATGTGAAATTTTATTGGGAGTCATATTAATACGGGCATATAGTGGAAAATCTAGCCGTCTCATATATGGGACACCCGGCGCGAAAGGTTAATCCTGTCACTTTGGGTGTAATGTGTTCGCCACTCAAGCGACAAATTAATTCATTTCAATCAGCGTATCAAAGCAATTTATTTTATTTCTGAACAAAGAATATGTCACGAGCAACGATAATAACACTAATCCAAGGACAAAATGTTATCGGAAAAACATTTAGCAAAATGAAGATTTCGAAAGTTATGTGGAGTACTGTTTTTAAATCATGGTGATGCCGAAAAAGAAAGAAATAAGTATTTTTACAATGAAATATGCAATTTGTGGAGAAGCAGACGGTGAATCTTTTGATAGGAAAATAAGTGTGAGCGATAAGATAACGCTTAAGATGTTAACAAAATACTGAGACCTTTATTCATTATGGGCCACCCGTTAGTTTCATATCATACACATACTTTCTGCTGTCTTTCTACTTTTCGACGATAAAACTTTTGTTATTTTCTGCTGTTCGGACGTCAAAAGGTGGCAGCATTAGCTCCTGCCGTACT